TAGCATGACACTGGTTCAGGATGGTCCATTAAGTCACTACTAGCATGACACTGGTCCAGGATGGTCCATTAAGTCACTACTAGCATGACACTGGTCCAGGATGATCCATTAAGTCACTACTAGCATAACAGTGGTCCAGGATGGTCTGTTAATTCACTACTAGCATGACAGTGGTCCAGAATGGTTCAAAACGTTGTTTTCAAAATTAAATTCTGATGTGCACTCTGGCTGACACAGTTGTGCACTGTCTGACAGTTGTGCACCCTGGCTAACAGTCATGCACTCTGGCTGACAGATAGTCATGCACCCTTGCTGACAGTTGTGTACTCTGGCTGACAGTTGTGTACCCTGGCTGACAGTTGTGTACTCTGGCTGACAGTTGTGCACCATGGCTGACAGTCATGCACCCTGGCTGATAGTCGTGCACTCGTCATAATTGAAAACTCTCATAATATATTTTACTATATTTTTACTATTTTACTATTCCATCTTCCAATGTTATTAAAGCTTTGCTCTTGGAAGACTAACATGCATAATATGACCTGCATCCAGATTGTACAGTGTGACCTGTGTCCAGATCGCACAGTATGACCTGCATCCAGATTACATAGTGTGACTTCCAGATTGCACAATGCGACCTGCATCCAGATCACACAGTGCGACCTGCGTCCAGATCACACAGTACAACATGCGTCCAGATTGCACAGTGCGACCTGTGTCCAGATCACACAGCGTGTCCTGCCTCCAGATTGCACAGCGCGACCTGCGTCCAGAGTGCACAGTGTGTCCTGCATCCAAATCACACAGTGCAGCCTGCATCTAGATCGCACAGTGTGTCCTGCATCTAAATCACAGTGTGTCCTGCATCCAGGTGTCACAGTGTGTCCTGCGTCGAGATTGCACAGTGTCACCTGCATCCAGATCGCACAGTCACCTGCATCCAGATCGCATAGTGTCACCTGCATCCAGATCACACAGTGCGACCTGCTTCCAGATTGCACAGTGTTCCTGCATCCAGATTGCAGTGTCAGTTGCATCCAGATTGCAGAGTGTCACCTGCATCCAGATTGCAGAGTGTCACCTGCATCCAGATTGCACAGTGTCACCTGCATCCAGATTGCACAGTGTCACCTGCATCTAGATTGCACAGTGTCACCTGCATCCAGATTGCACAGTGTCACCTGCATCCAGATTGCACAGTGTCACCTGTATCCAGATCACACAGTGTCAACTGTATCCAGATTGTACAGCGTCACCTGAATCCGGATTGCACAGTGTCACCTGCATCCAGATTGCTCAGTGTCATCTGCATCCAGATTGCACAGTGTCACTTGCATCCAGATTACACAGCATCACCTGTATCCAGATCACACAGTGTCACCTGCATTCAGATCGCACTGTCACCTGCATCCAGATCATACAGTGTCATTGCACAGTGTCACTTGCATCCAGATTGCACAGTGTCACCTGCGTCCAGATCACACAGTGTGCCCTGCATCCAGATTGCACAGTGCCACCTGCGTCCAGATCTCAAAGTGTCACATGTGTCCAGTTCGCACAGTGCTTCCTGCGTCCAGATCACACAGTGTGTCCTGCATCCTGATGACACAGCGTGTCCTGCATCCAGATTGAACAGTGTGTCCTGTGTCCAGGTTGCACAGTGTCACCTGCGTCCTGATCGCACAGAGTCACCTGCATCCAGACTACACAGTGCAGCCTACCCAAGACCTTCCCAGTTTTTTTTTTTTTTTTTTTTTTTTTTTTTAAAGTTAGGCCTGCTGAAATCTTGCTTCATTCTTGTGTTGTCAAGCTGACACAGATCAGCCACCTGAGCCAGTAGGCCTAGACCCAGTAGGTCTCAACTGCCACTTCCCTGCACCTGCCATTCTCCTTTGCTGGAAAAATCAAAACCTTCCCCTCCCCCAAAATAAAACCTTCCCTTCCCCAAAAACTAAAACCTTCCCCTCCCCAAAAACTAAAACCTTCCCCTCCCCAAAAACTAAAACCTTCCCCTCCCCAAAAACTAAAACCTTCCCCTCCCCAAAAACTAAAACCTTCCCCTCCCCAAAAACTAAAACCTTTCCTCCCCAAAAACTAAAACCTTCTGCTCCCCAAAAACTAAAACCTTCCCCTCCCCAAAAACTAAAACCTTCCCCTCCCCAAAAACTAAAACCTTCCCCTCCCCAAAAACTAAAACCTTCCGCTCCCCAAAAACTAAAACCTTCCTCTCCCCAAAAACTAAAACCTTCCCCTCCCCAAAAAATGAAATTCATGTTCTTGTACACAAATAACCCGCACACTTCAGTCCGACTTGGACCATTTACAAAGTCACACTGACGAGAAGTAGAGCAGGACGGGTATATTTTTTTTATTATTATTTTTTTTTATTATCACACTGGCCGATTCCCACCAAGGCAGGGTGGCCCGAAAAAGAAAAACTTTCACCATCATTCACTCCATCACTGTCTTGCCAGAAGGGTGCTTTACACTACAGTTTTTAAACTGCAACATTAACACCCCTCCTTCAGAGTGCAGGCACTGTACTTCCCATCTCCAGGACTCAAGTCCGGCCTGCCGGTTTCCCTGAATCCCTTCATAAATGTTACTTTGCTCACACTCCAACAGCACGTCAAGTATTAAAAACCATTTGTCTCCATTCACTCCTATCAAACACGCTCACGCATGCCTGCTGGAAGTCCAAGCCCCTCGCACACAAAACCTCCTTTACCCCCTCCCTCCAACCCTTCCTAGGCCGACCCCTACCCCGCCTTCCTTCTACTACAGACTGATACACTCTTGAAGTCATTCTGTTTCGCTCCATTCTCTCTACATGTCCGAACCACCTCAACAACCCTTCCTCAGCCCTCTGGACAACAGTTTTGGTAATCCCGCACCTCCTCCTAACTTCCAAACTACGAATTCTCTGCATTATATTCACACCACACATTGCCCTCAGACATGACATCTCCACTGCCTCCAGCCTTCTCCTCGCTGCAACATTCATCACCCACGCTTCACACCCATATAAGAGCGTTGGTAAAACTATACTCTCATACATTCCCCTCTTTGCCTCCAAGGACAAAGTTCTTTGTCTCCACAGACTCCTAAGTGCACCACTCACTCTTTTTCCCTCATCAATTCTATGATTCACCTCATCTTTCATAGACCCATCCGCTGACACGTCCACTCCCAAATATCTGAATACGTTCACCTCCTCCATACTCTCTCCCTCCAATCTGATATTCAATCTTTCATCACCTAATCTTTTTGTTATCCTCATAACCTTACTCTTTCCTGTATTCACCTTTAATTTTCTTCTTTTGCACACCCTACCAAATTCATCCACGGGTATATATAGGCAGGAAGTGGTAGTGGAAGTAGAAGTGGTAGTAGTAGTAGTAGTAGTAGTAGTGGTAGTGGTAGAAGTAGTAGAGGAGGTGGAAGGAAATACGTACAGTGGACCCCCGCTTTACGATCAGCTCCCAATGCGACCAATTATGTAAGTGTATTTATGTAAGTGCGTTTGTACGTGTATGTTTGGGGATCTGAAATGAACTAATCTAATTCACAATATTCCTTATGGGAACAAATTCGTTCAGTACTGGCACCTGAACATACTTCTGGAATGAAATAATATCATAAAGCGGGGGTCCACTGTAGTAGCGGGGAAGTAAGGAGGAGGAGCCAGCCAATTACTAAGAGAGGGGAGCACTGCAAGGGAGCTAGGTGCCCAAGAAGGAGAGCGAGAACACAGAGGTGTGACTTTGTAAATGGTCCAAGTTGGACTGAAACGTGGTAAGCTCCTCTCTTCTATGTGCGGGTTATTTGTGTATCGTTCCAGTCACGGTATTGTGCCTTTTTCTGTTATTCATGTTCTTATTTTAATAGACTGCTTTACAGTTTACATCAATTAAGTTTTGCTGAGGCCAGTGGCACACCCATTGGTGGGGGAGATGCCAGTGTTTTATTTTTCAGTGGATAATTTTGACCAGTGGCCTCAAAAAGCCCCTTCCCCCATTGTTTCAGAAATTATTTATTGAAATGGTTTCTAAGATTTTTTTCATCATCTTGTATGGCTTTTAGGTTAATTACCCATCCCTGATATAAATTTTGATTTACAACCCCTCCTTGGTTGTAATTTTGACTTTCAAAAACCTCTAGATTGAAATTTTGATGTTTATAAACCTCCTGATTGACATTTTGACTTAAGGGCCCTCTCAGATATAAAATTTGAATTAAGGACCCTCCCAGATTGAAATTTTGGCCCAAGCTTTCCCCTCCAGATCGAAATTTTGGCTGTGCCAGTGCCCTAGGCCTACAGACATTTCCAGTGGTATAGCCCACTGTTGAATCAACATGGACCTCCCCTACTCTCGCACAATATTTATGATATACATGTATCTATTTTTTTGTTCAGTATTACTGTACAATATATATGCAGCAGATGCTGATAGACTTCTATTGTTTCAATTTCTTTTTCTTATTTCAGCTTTTTTTTTTTAATTTTCTATGTTTGCTAGCATCAGTAGCTTTCTTTAAGTCATTTTTAAGTACAATCTTATTAAGCTCCTCTATATACAGTCAGTTATCTTATAAAGCTCATCTATATACAGTCAGTTATTTTATAAAGGTCATCTATATACAGTCAGTTATCTTATAAAGCTCCTGTATATAGTGCAATTATTTGAAAGTCACTGAGAAATTATGGTCAGAATTGAGTAGGTCACACTGTCCGAGGACTTCGATGTGGTACTCACTTTTTCAGTGACATAGGAGGTTATGCTGTATACATGAGCTTTGTAAGGGAGCTGAGTGTACGTTGCTAGTAGATCAATAATGTTTTAAGAGTGCACTCGCTCTGAAGCTCACACCTGTGACACCTCACCAGCTAAGCTTACTCATGTCATCCAGGTGATACTTGTAAACAAACTGATTTTTGCAGCGACAAAAAAGTTTTTCTATTTCTATCTCTCTCTCTCTCTCTCTCTTTCTCTCTTGAGTGTTCGGCAATGAGGAGGGTGGTATTGTTGCAGGGCCGGCCAGGCGCTCGTTCTGGCCGTGGGTCGAGCGGAGTTGGCACAAAGGGCGGGCCAGTGGACCGCCCGGGGTCACAGCTCGTCCCCTGCACCCCCGCCTCGGCTACCGGGCCGGGGGACGGCAGTGACGCGCCGTTCAGGGGGCCACCGGTCCAAGGCTGTGACTTTGCCTGTCAGACCGAACAAGTAACTTCCACCATCACTAACTGTGCATGACTGCCTTTTGTAATGCATGAGCAATGTAGTAGCTAATTTATTTTTGTTGTAGCAAACCCTGCTTTACCTAGCAGCAGCAGCAGCCACAGCAGCAGCAGCAGCCGCAGTAGCAGCCGCAGCAGCAGCCGCAGCAGCAGCCGCAGCAGCAGCCGCAGCAGCAGCTCTTCTTAAGGTCCTAAATCGATTAATCTGCTTAACCAAAACGAAATTAATATGTCTGGGGCAAATTATTAGCAACACACACCTTAATTATTAAAGAAACTGTAAAAATCCTCCCAATCCTGGACCTCACATATACGTATATATACATGTATATATACACACATTATGTATGTATGTATATATATGGGGTTTTCAGGAACTGAGTACAGTACATAAATTTAAAGATTACAGTACCTTGGAACAGCTAATCAAAAGTCCACACTTAGTGGAGGAATTTATGAGTACATTTCGATCTGTCCCGGACAGAAACGTAGTCATAAGATTCCTAACCCAGGTGTAGGATTTTGAACTCATCGTGGTGAATTGAAGTTAAAAAATGTTTAGATTTAGAAGAGATGTATGATTTAGAAGAGATGTATGGTTTAGCAGTAGTAGAGTTGTTGTTGAGTGGAACAATGTACCAAGTAGAGTTATTGAAGCTGATAAGCTTGTAATAGGCTGGAGATATGAGTTGAGAAGGACCTGCCTAGTATGAACCAGTAGGCCTATTGCATTGCTCTTCCAGTCTTGTTGTCTTGTTATGATTTGAAGGAAAGAGTAAGGGAAAGTCCATGGAGGGTTCACCTGACCTTTCACTCTCCTGTTTACCTAACCTGCTTTCTAATTTGTTCACCTAACCTGCTTTCTAATCTGTTCACCTAACCTGCTTTCTAATTTCCTCACCTAACCTGCTTTCTAATCTGTTCACCTAACCTGCTTTCTAATCTGTTCACCTAACCTGCTTTCTAATTTCCTCACCTAACCTGCTTTCTAATCTGTTCACCTAACCTTCATTCTAATCTGTTCACCTAACCTGCTTTCTAATTTCCTCACCTAACCTGTTTTCTAATCTGTTCACCTAACCTGCTTTCTAATCTGTTCACATAATCTGCTTTCTAATCTGTTCACCTAACCTGCTTTCTAATCTGTTCACATCTGCTTTCTAATCTGTTCACCTAACCTGCTTTCTAATCTGTTCACCTAACCTGCTTTCTAATCTGTTCACCTAATCTGCTTTCTAATCTTCACCTAACCTGCTTTCTAATCTGTTCACCTAACCTGCTTTCTAATCTGTTCACCTAACCTGCTTTCTAATCTGTTCACCTAACCTGCTTTCTAATCTGTTCACCTAACCTGCTTTCTAATTTCTTCACCCAACCTTCTTGCTTCTGAATTGTAGCTTTCTCCTGGCTTGTGGCTGTCATCTGACTTTTTTAGCTTCCTCCTGACTTAGCTTTCACTTGGGTTTCAACTCCTAGCTTTTAGCTTTATCTTTTAGCTTTCTCCTGGATTTCTTTTAGCTTTCTCATAGCTTTTACCTTTAGTTTAGCATTTGCTCTAGACTTCTAATTCTTTTCTCGGCTTTCTCCTGTTCTTCCCATAATCAAACAAGGTGGATTAAACGGTGGAAAGTTTTTGCTGGCTAACGCTTAAACTGTCCAAACGTAGATCTACATTTATACGTGCTGCACGAGCGAACGTAGATCTACGTTCGGAGCTCTACGCGAGCAAACGTAGATCTACATTCAGAGCTCTACGCGAGCAAACGTATATCTACGTTTGGAGCTCTATGCGAGCAACCGTAGATCTACGTTCGGAGCTCTACGCGAGCAAACGTAGATCTACGTTTGGAGCTCTACGCGAGCAAACGTAGATCTACATTCGGAGCTCTATGCGAGCAAACGTAGATCTACGTTTGGAGCTCTACGCGAGCAAACGTAGATCTACGTTTGGACAGTTTAGGGGTCAAGTGTGTTAGGGATGCAGCAGCAGCACATCACTGCCAGAATTGGATTCATTTGCTCTATTTCAACTTTGGCTTGCACCGTGGGCTGCCGAGTGGCCCCTATGGGTTTAGCTTCCCCCCATCCCTTGAGCTTAGTGGTGGTGATGGTTAGTTTGATCTCTCAGCCGGCGTCACCCTCTATGACATTACTCTTATTCCTTTTCTGCTGTGTGTACATTATGTCTCCTTTTATGGTATGTATATCTACCCTATGTCCCTTTCTGCTACATGTATCTTCCCTGTGTCTCCCTTTCTGCTATATGTATCTCCTTTAGCTGCATGTATTCTTCTCCATAATCGCAGGTATCATCAGGTGTGTGTGTTGTGTGTGTGTGTGTGTGTGTGTGGTGTGTGTGTGTGTGTGTGTGTGTGTGTGTGTGTGTGTGGTGTGTTTGAGGCGTGCATACATGTCTATGTTGATGTGTTAGCTGTATGTATGTTGGGTGTTAATATATGGGGCATGTGTGGGGTATGTGTGTTTGTGTGGCTTATGTGTGTTTATGTATGGGGCATGTGTGGGGTATGTGTGTTTATGTATGGGGCATATGTGGGGTATGGGTGTTTACATATGGGGCATGTGTAGGGTATGTGTGTTTATGCATGGGGCATGTGTGGGGTATGTGTTTATGTATCGGGCATGTGGGGTGTGTGTTTATGTATGGGGCATGTGTGCTGTATGTGTTGTATGGATCATGTATGTAGTATGTGTTGTATGGAACATGTATACAGTATTGTGTATGTGTTGTATGTGTGTTTTGTTTACTTTTGGTATAAATCTTCTTAATTGATACCCACAAATTGGTTAAAGGAGACATGTTAGCAAACATTTAGCTTCTAACAACCTAGATCACTTCTAACAACCTAGATCACTTCTAACACAACCTAGATCACTTCTAACACAACCTAGATCACTTCTAACAACCTAGATCACTTCTAACACAACCTAGATCACTTCTAACACAACCTACATTACTTCTAACACAACCTAGATCACTTCTAACACAACCTAGATCACTTCTAACACAACCTAGATCACTTCTAACACAACCTAGATCACTTCTAACACAACCTAGATCACTTCTAACACAACCTAGATCACTTCTAACACAACCTAGATCACTTCTAACAACCTAGATCACTTCTAACACAACCTAGATCACTTCTAACACAACCTAGATCACTTCTAACACAACCTAGATCACTTCTAACACAACCTAGATCACTTCTAACACAACCTAGATCACTTCTAACACAACCTAGATCACTTCTAACACAACCTAGATCACTTCTAACACAACCTAGATCACTTCTAACACAACCTAGATCACTTCTAACAACCTAGATCACTTCTAACACAACCTAGATCACTTCTAACACAACCTAGATCACTTCTAACACAACCTAGATCACTTCTAACACAACCTAGATCACTTCTAACACAACCTAGATCACTTCTAACAACCTAGATCACTTCTAACACAACCTAGACTCACTTCTAACACAACCTAGATCACTTCTAACACAACCTAGATCACTTCTAACAACCTAGATCACTTCTAACAACCTAGATCACTTCTAACAACCTAGATCACTTCTAACAACCTAGATCACTTCTAACAACCTAGATCACTTCTAACAACCTAGATCACTTCTAACACAACCTAGATCACTTCTAACAACCTAGATCACTTCTAACAACCTAGATCACTTCTAACAACCTAGATCACTTCTAACACAACCTAGATCACTTCTAACAACCTAGATCACTTCTAACACAACCTACATTACTTCTAACACAACCTAGATCACTTCTAACAACCTAGATCACTTCTAACACAACCTAGATCACTTCTAACAACCTAGATCACTTCTAACAACCTAGATCACTTCTAGCACAACCTAGATCACTTCTAACAACCTAGATCACTTCTAACACAACCTACATTACTTCTAACACAACCTAGATCACTTCTAACAACCTAGATCACTTCTAACACAACCTAGATCACTTCTAACACAACCTAGATCACTTCTAACACAACCTAGATCACTTCTAACACAACCTAGATCACTTCTAACAACCTAGATCACTTCTAACAACCTAGATCACTTCTAACAACCTAGATCACTTCTAACACAACCTACATTACTTCTAACACAACCTAGATCACTTCTAACAACCTAGATCACTTCTAACAACCTAGATCACTTCTAACAACCTAGATCACTTCTAACAACCTAGATCACTTCTAACAACCTAGATCACTTCTAACAACCTAGATCACTTCTAACAACCTAGATCACTTCTAACACAACCTAGATCACTTCTAACACAACCTAGATCACTTCTAACAACCTAGATCACTTCTAACAACCTAGATCACTTCTAACAACCTAGATCACTTCTAACACAACCTAGATCACTTCTAAACACAACCTAGATCACTTTTAACAACCTAGATCACTTCTAACAACCTAGATCACTTCTAACAACCTAGATCACTTCTAACACAACCTAGATCACTTCTAACACAACCTAGATCACTTCTAACAACCTAGATCACTTCTAACACAACCTACATTACTTCTAACACAACCTAGATCACTTCTAACAACCTAGATCACTTCTAACAACCTAGATCACTTCTAACAACCTAGATCACTTCTAACAACCTAGATCACTTCTAACAACCTAGATCACTTCTAACACAACCTAGATCACTTCTAACAACCTAGATCACTTCTAACAACCTAGATCACTTCTAACAACCTAGATCACTTCTAACAACCTAGATCACTTCTAACAACCTAGATCACTTCTAACAACCTAGATCACTTCTAACAACCTAGATCACTTCTAACAACCTAGATCACTTCTAACACAACATAGATCACTTCTAACACAACCTAGATCACTTCTAACAACCTAGATCACTTCTAACACAACCTAGATCACTTCTAACACAACCTAGATCACTTCTAA